CTTGTTTTATCCAGTTACATAATTTATTAATTTATAAATATATTTTAAATAATTTTCTTTATCTTAACTCATTTTAATTATCGTCGTTTTCAAAATGGTGTGGGCAGTTTATTTGTGATTTATATTCGAATACCAATGTTCGTCCGGTTTTTATCCGTTTTTTGTTCAGTATTCGTCCGATATTCGGTTTTTCTTTTTTCATATTCAAATATAACTAATATAACTAACTGCATACACCATTTTGAAAACGGCGATATATGTAAATTTTAAAATTATTTACTTTCTTTTATAAAAATACACAGTATTCATTGTAATTAATAAAAAGAAATTACAAAATAATTTTTTAAATAGTTAGTTTAAGTTATATGTAACAATAAGTAATAATAGAATTATGTAAATATTTATTTGTACATAGGCGGGTTTCTAAAAAAGTAAATTTTCTATGCTGATCATTTAATGAGAATTAAATTTAACGGAAAAAACAGGAAAAAAAAAAAGAATTTGTTAAATAAATCAAAATTTTCATTCAAAATTAACTTTGACGCTTTAAGTAAACTTGCGGAACAGACAAAAATACACATACTGAATGTCTCTTTTAAAATTATATTTATTAAAAATTTTTTTTTACATAACTTTTTAATAAAGTCACGTGATACGGGAATGAAAGCCCAGTGTAAATTAAGAAATTTTCTTTTCTTATATAATTAAAAATTGGATTTTAATCTATTTTTTACATTGAACTTTATTTTAGGAAAATACTTCAAATTTACAATAGAAAATTAATCTATACCGATTAATTCCAGCAAAATTTATTGTGGGCGATGAAGATCACTTCTGAAAGGGAGAAAATAGTTTGGATCCAATAATTCGGTAGATTGCTAAAATGTGAAACCAATAAATAAGTTTGAGCCAGAAAAAAAAACAATACTATATTTGTAACCTGTAAGGTACCAACCGCAAGTTCAGCAGGCACAGTACTTGCCACAAATCTAGCAGCTACCCGCAGTGGTTATCCGCTGCAAATCCGACAGATACCTGCCGCAAATTCAGCAGATATCCGTCGTGAAATAGCAGATACCTGTCGTGAAAGTAACAGGTATCTGCTCTAATAACAGCAGACTTTTGTCAAGGACTTATCATATGCAGCTAATAATAAGTGTATCACCTATTATTAGATCGGATTAAATTAGATGCAGGGATTGAGTAACGTAATGCATTATTATTGCGCGAGTTCTTTGATTAGTATATTAACTTCCTTTAATTTTAAACCGTAAAAAATACTAAAAAGAGTATATACTCAGAAATACATAATTTGAAACATAAAAGTATGTTTACAGGTATACAGGCAAAAGACACACCGAAAATTAAATTATTTGATAAGGTAATAATTTTTTTTAAAAAAGTTATATTATCGAGGTAATTATTATTTTTAATCACGTCATAGATAAGCAATACTAAATTTAGGTTTCTGATTGAAGCTACTATTTACAAAGATCAAAAGAGAATATTCGGCGTAGAGAAATCAAAAGAACGAATGCTCATTGATAACGTCTCACAATAATAAATGACGAAATATTTATATTTGATATATTTAAATGAGAAATGATTTCCAAATGAGTCACCTTTGGTCACCTTTTTATAATAAACTGTACTGTACATGGATGGTTAGCTACATGCAACCTATATTTGATAATAAAATATTAAAGTGTGATGAATTTCGTGTTAATAAATTGGTCAAATTTTTTACCCCTTTATTACCATTGGAGAATCTATTAAGGGAATGCGGTTAATATTATCGTAAGAACCATACTAATCGCTCATTGAAAGAAAATTTTCATTGCACGAAAGTGCATAAAATTATTTGGTTATCTTATTTTAATCATTGGCGTAGGTCAGCTGATTTGGGTGTTTGCAGGAAATTTTAAGTTATGTGACCGCATTTTTATTATTAAAAATAAATGTTACCTTTTCCTTAAAAATATTACTCTTAAACAACAACATTTATAGTATAAAGAAATTCTTTGCATATAAATATTCATTTTACATTGAAAATTCCTCTTAATAATTAAAAAATTCCGGTGTTCATTGATGTGATCTGGTTAACAATTAGACAATAATTGTATGACATTACCCCTTTTCGATGTCAATCACGGTAGAAATATTTTTTAACTTGTACTGTAATTTTGTACGTGTCAATCGCGTTATTGTATCACATAAGATAATATTCAAATATTCTTTAATTTTCGTAATTTTTGTTTATTACAACGATATGATTCTGAAAATAAAATAAATATACTCATGTACAAGGCGTTGTTGATTATAATATTTCCACTTTTAGGCTAATCCAAATATTCGTTACAGGTGCCACGAAAAAAAAACTTACGGAATAAAAGGTATTCATATTTAGCTTAATTACCCAAGAAAAGTGATAAATGAGAACACATTCGGTTTGAATCATACCGATCTGGCCGATTGGTTTTAATAATGGATAAATTCGGCGACAACGAAATATTCGGTATATACTTCGTTATGTTAAAAAATTGAAGAAAATGATTTGTTATCTCAATGAAGCAAACCGACAGTGCTTATAATGATTATTATAATGGTTTATCACTTACATATAAATTTATATTCACAAACCAACTGTCCTCCAGGCAAGGCTTAGAATATTAATCAATACAATCACTGCCGTATAATGATAATTATAGATTAATTATTTAAATAATACCTTATTGTTTATTTACTTCATTATTATTAAAATGTTTGCAGTATAATAATATTAACAATCAGGTATTGTCTCTCTCGTTTTTTTTTCAAGTAGAATAATGATTTTTTAAAACGCTTCGTTACTATATCATCCTTGTAAGAAAACACTTTTCGTCCAAGTTCAAATTATATTTTGTACTTTTTGTACTCTTAAAAATAATTATCAAAGAAAAAAAAAAAGCCCAGTTAAACTTAAACTTATAATTTTTATTTTCATATGATGACTTAATCTGCAGAGTAACAATATATACTTATTAGACCTTATTTGTTTATATGAGAAATGCATACTGCATAAAAACTCTTTGTTTCCAATTGCTGTATTACTTTGATACAGTGATAGTATAAATAAAACAAAGTATTTATAAAAATTTTCTATTTGTAAAAAGAAACATAATACTTAACATAATAATTCCATAAAAAGATATATTTACTTAGAAAGAATAAACCTAAAAGGGCATATATTCGTAACTTTAACTATAAAGGAAAAGTGAACTTTTAATTGTACTTAAAAAATATTACAATCGTGGTTGAACGTCAGTAAAAACATTAACGTTAGATTTCTTAATTTGTTTCGAAGCTAATAAATACTCCTTCAGATTAGATTCTAAATTATTCCGTTGATAATTACTAAAAGTCAAAAATTCTTGTTGTGGTTCATCGCCTTGTTTAAGTTCAATTCCATACATCTTTTTATTCAAAAATTGAACAATTAATGAGTGTGAAATCAAAATACAAGTTATCTTATAAAGATTTTTATCGTCCAGTTTATAATAGAATGTATGATCAGAAGGCAATTCATTATTGCTGATTTCGTTCAAAGATTCACAAGTAATATGGTAAATTTGATAATCGTTCTGCGGATTATAGAAGAAAGCCATTTTAAAGTTGTCATTTGAACGGTTGGACGAGCTGGTCAATTCATTTAATTGTTCAATATTAGTGCAACCTTTGGCGTAAACAACTTCTTGATCGTGTGTTGGATTCATTTTGAAAATTTATTTTAAAGACGATTGATTGTGAATTTTTTGATGAGGAATTAATGCTCATTTTATAGATTTTTTTTATACTATTAAATCATTATTACAATCATTACGATCGATTATTTTGGCTAACTGATAAATGAACAATCAAGAATAATATAATAACGTACAATAATATAAAGGCCAAATTTTTCTAAGTTTATGCTGTCATAGCACCTTTATTATCTTTATTATGCTACTAAAAAAAAATAAAAAGGGAAAGTTTCAAAGAGAAACAGATTTTATAAACTTTGTGATTCTGATGCATAATCAGCAAAAATTGCGTTGTATCTGTCTCTTATACACATCTAGATGTGTATAAGAGACAGATATTAGTCTCAGCATCAACGTTTTTATTAGTGACTCAAACCAATTAGTCACCACAGAGTTGTACAAATGATTACCAAAAATGAAACTCCGTTTTGCTCCGGACAATAATTGATTTGTTTTTTTTTGAAAAGAGTATTTAGCTTAAAAAGCTATTCCAAAATTGGTTAAATCTGGCGCTAAACGCCGCAATTGCATAAATATATATTTCTGGATTAGATTATCCATTGTAAGATAGAAAAAAAAATTAGTAATAATTAAATAATAATGATGTTTCGCCTTGAGGTAATTACATCTAAATCTTATTATTTTTTTTAAATAAAAAGTTTTTTCCGTTAAACAAATCATATTATAGGAATAATTTTATATACAATGTAATTAATTTTAACATAAAATGTAATATACTTTCGCTTTGTTGGGAAGTACAAGATTTAGAATTGGGATGAGTTTTATATATTTAAATTCTTAATCATTATATACTGTATATATATATATGTATATATATATATATACTCTGTTAACGAATATACATTTTGTTATTATACTTGCTACATTACGATCTTCACAACAATCTAATAAAAGTTCGTCACAATTACGATAATTATAAATCGAGAGTATTAACAAACGATTATGAATATCGAGCAATGAGGTGACTTATCGAAAATTAACACATTAATCAAACCTTGTACGTTTCCTATCAAACATAAGGAATAACTTTTCACTTGTGAGTTAAGGGGGTACAATATGCAATTGAAATATAACATTATATTAACATTTGACTTTCCATATTATTTGAAAGTTATAGGAGAGTGTATGATTCGAAATCATCAATTGCTGGATACGGTGTTGTCACGGAATCCCTCAATAAAACAATCAATCAAAAAACATCATCAGTACGTTGTGGGCCGATTCATTGAGTAAAACTTCATGACATCGACGATTGATTTTGTTGAAGAAAATTAGAATAAGTAATACAATCTTTGTTGTTGCGGTTGCAAAAATTTCAGTATCAATCGATGCTTACAGTTGAGTACAGACAAAAGACTAAAAAAAAACCAAAACTCACAAAATTTGGAAATTCGAGATATTTATTCTCAAGGTTTGGGAACGATTCAATTATAAGGCCACACAAATTCGATTTTCGGTTCACGTCACTCGGCTTGGTCACTTTCAAATTTTATAGAACGTGACAACAAAAACGTAATATTGCTCGAATTGAAAAATTCGGGGTGTTGTCTAAGTTGGAAAAATAAAAATAAAGATAAAAATATTATTTATAATTCTTTTTTTTTACAATTAATTAATTTTGTCACTTTTTTGCTTACTTGATTTTACAAATTTCTTTTCTTCCTTCCCCTTTTACCTTCATGTAGCATATCAGGCTTATATCGTGCTGAAACTTATCATCGACTAATGTTTTTGATGGACTAAATTTCACTTCGAAACCTACTTCCCACCAATAATATAAATCGATATATCTTAAGAATCTGTCATTTTTGTTTCTTTTTTCAACAGGTAAGCATTCCCAATCCTTCAAAATATTTGATTTGTAACTAATATAGGTGTTAACTACCCTCTTTAAAGTTGAACAATCGTTTTTTACGTATAAAATTTTTTATTAACAAAATATAAACCCAGATCCCGAGCGAGCCAATTTTAAATTTCAAGTGTATTTATGGCCTAAGAATTTTGTTGAGTCAGAAGTTATTGGGCGAAGTTATTGGGCAAAGAGAGAAAAAATAAAATTTCCACTCACAAACTCTCAGCTAGAAAAGATATGAGGGACGAAATAATGTATGATTTATTAACACTAATTATTATTATTTTTCAAAATTTTATAATAAAATAGAAAAAAAAATTCGATACGTGAAGGTTACAAAAAATCTTTTCATATATCTGAAATCGAAACAAAATTTTCACTTCGTGTGTTTAGCATAGTAGTGAGGTATGAATCAGAACTTAGTATCACAATAGGTCTGATTGATCGGATTTTTGATCGAAATTTTTGCAGTCCTTATTTGATCACATGTTTAGATTAGTTAATGAATTTTGCGATATAATTTGTTATGAAATTATTATTTATTAACTTACTTAAATTAGGCCAGTTCACCTGAAAAAATATTTGTATCATTCGATTTTACCTCGCTTCCTGAAAATTCTCATATTTCGCTTATTTAAAAGAGACGATTAGTTCGGATTGTTCTCCATAAATGGCAGGGATCATCAATCACGTGACAATATATTTCAATGCGTCACTATACGCAGCGGATTTTATTAAAAAAATTAATACACTCCCTACAACACCGTGGTATTGAATTGACAAAATTAATTATAAGCTTTCCTCACCCTATACTCAAAAAACTATTTAATTCACTAAAAATTTTTTTGTCCTGCGCATCTTCACGTTCCTCTTAACAATTGCCAAATGCTTATAATTGAGTTTAGATTTAGATTACTCTATAACTTCTGCCGACTAATGTGTTTAGGAAGCTGTCTTGCTGTAACTACAATACTTTATATGGAGTTTCCATCTATTATACACTTAAATTTAATAAAACTTGTTTTTAATACCTTTAAAAACAAAAATCACTCATACGAATATTTCTTCAGCCTTTTAGTATTGAATAAATTGGCCTCGCATTCCTATACCAATACTTGAAAAACCTTTTACCACATGAATAGTGTCTTTTTCGATCATCATCTTTTGTGTTTTTAAACCTGGTTAACATGTTTTTCTTTATGGACCAGTGTTAGCATTAGTAAGCATTAGTGTAAGGATGATAAATAGTTTAATAAATAATTACTAACGTAAAATTGAAAATTGTAAAATTAATAAAATTAATGTTGAATACCTGATAGAACATTAATTTAACTTATTCTTTGCTTCTTCAATTCAGTTATATGAAGCGTTTCTGTGAAGGAAAAGAGCATTTTCGGTATTCAAATGTTAGCCAGTCATCCAAACGTTTTGAAATTATTGAGTAAGAGATATTTTCGCCAATATCTTTTAATTTAGGGGCAACAAGCCTAGTAATATATATATATATATATAGAAAGTGAAAATTCCCTCGAATATGCTGCTTAATTACTCAGGATACACTTAGTGTTATTTTTTTTTAATATTCTTATTATCACTTTCATGCTTTACATCTCTAGTAACTTTAATTTTTTTAAGGTTCAGATAGGTAATTCTAAGTATAATCTTTGTTAAAAAATATATTTTAGCAGCCTAATGTGTTTGCCGCTTCCAGGATTGTAAAATGTTTGTCATTAGATTTTTCATTGAATACAGTCATTTTAATGCTTGATAAATATTTGTTTTTATTAAAGTACGGGGAAAAGTTTCGCTTGGAGGTGATAGCGTAATCATAGGGCTTTCATTGCATATTTATTATGTATTTTGTCCAAAATAGGGCTAGTTACATATGTTGATCATTTTCGTATCCCAGAATCACAAATTCAAAAATTTTTTTTTTTTTATATTATTTTAATCGGCTCAAAAATAGTTATTGATTTCGTAATACATGCGGTTATTACATGATATTATAAATATATTAATTACATATTGTTTCAAAGAAAATTTCTCATTCTGATAAATGAAAAAAAAGGATTAGCAATTTTATTTATTTATTTTATTAATTATTTTACAATTGGATTCCCATGCCAAAAATTCAATCATTATGATATCATTTAACCTAAAACTTTTAACATTATAGAGCGGAGTATTCAATATTACGGGTAGGTGTTTAATGACTGGCTGTCATTGTGCCACGTAGTGGCACATGACAACAATTTAATAAGTTATTCGGCACGAAGTGCCGAATAACTGTTATATTTGGGCAAATCATTTGATTGGTTAATCGGGCCGAGATCAACTGATCAAATTTGATTTCCAATATAACAAGCTATCTTTAGGTAAATGAAATTATTATTGATCAGATAACTAAATTTTATTAGTTTAAAATAAAAGTCCGGGCGGCCGGGTCAGAAAAGGATGAAAACCGAATTTATAACCTAATCACTTTATCATACAACTTTTATTCTATAACTTTCGTATAACATTAAAAATATACTTTTTTGTAATATGACTTTAACACTAAATTTTATCATATTTAATATTAATTATAATTTGTCTTTTACTGAATTAAAGAAATTATAAATTTCCATTTCTTTTTTTCCAACTATAATAAATCACATATTTACAGTACAAGTTTCGCAATTTCTTTAATAATAAATGATTGAATGACTAGGAATATGCGAATATAAAATATATTTAGAGTCAATTATTGAAAAGCATCCAAAAAATATTTGGTACTCTTCCCTCATAAACAATATACAGAAAGATACATTGCCAAGAATCGTACATGATAAAATTTTTGTTCCTAGAAAAGCAATGCATAACCACACATCAGGCTGTTACGCAAATTCTTGGCAAAGCTAAAAAACGTTAAATTTTAACAAACACGTATTTGTTAATAAATTTGTATATAATTTATTATTACCTGAACATATAAAGTTTTAGATTTTGCTTTATTTTTAGATTTAAAGCAATAATATTATTAACCTTATTAGGATTAAAATTTGATGCCAAGCTGCCAAGCTATCAGGATAAGAAAAGATGTATATTTTCAAAAAAATTGTGCATTAAAAACATATACCATATAAAAAAATTGGATACGTTTTTTATAAAGTTTTTATACGATTTTTTCCTTAGAAATAACGTATCATAATAGTCCGTTGAAAGGATACAGAAAAATGCACAATTCTGTATCACTAAATATACTGATTTTATCATGAAATTTATATGATTTGGCCACTGAATTTACTATTTATATTACAGTTTATTATAGTTGTATTTACATATATTTAATTCTACTTTATTAAATTAAATAAAAAATAAAAATAAACAAAATACAAATACGTTATGAAAATTCCTTCCCTTATCAAAACCACCTATTGCAATCAAAATTATCTATAAGTCCAGGTTTATTCAAAGTCAAACAATCTAAAAAAAAAAGAAACATAAGAATATCTAATTTAATTAAAACCAAAACCTTTTCATATAGTATCTGCACCTGTCCAAGTCACCAAGGTCAGAATTTCTACATAGAAGAAAGAGAACTCAAGAATGTCTGACCTACATAAAAGAAAAGAATCATGAAGCGTCTGATGAAAAAGAAACCAAAACAACCTACAAAAGAAAAAAAATCCAGAACTGACCTACAAAAAAAAAGAAGACTATGAAGCAACAAACCTGAAGCAACCTACAAAAAGAAAAGTATCTGAACCCAACTTACAAAAAAAAAGAAAATCTGAACTGACCTAAAAAAAGAAAAAAAAATCCCGAACCATCCTACAAAAAGAAAAGGACTCGCAAACTGATCAAAAAAGAAAAAAGAAACTGAATCTTCTCACAAAAAAAAATCTGTTGGCCTATGAAATAAAAAAAGAATAAGCCAAAAGAAATATTTTTCTTTAAAAAGAGGGGTGACGAAGCTAGGAGTTAAAAAATTTTTTTAAATGGAAGAACATCAGGGTTGGGAAATAAAAAATTTTTTATAAAGAGGAAATAGAAATTTTTTTTTAAAAAAAAAAAGAAAGGGCGGCGAGTGGGGAATAAAAGAATAAAATCAAAAAAAAATTTTTTTTTTAAAGGAGAGCGACGAAAAAAAATTTTTTTTAATGGGGAAGTACGAAAAAAAAATTTTTTTTAAAGGGAGGTGACGAAGAAAAAAGAAAGAAAAAATAACTAAGAAAAAAAATAACGAAGAGAAAGGAAAGGGTTTATAAAAAAACAAAAAACGTATCATAACAAGACAGGGACGATGATTTTTTGTGATCACAGAATTTCACAGAAAATCACAAAATTTGGTTATAAAAATGTTGATAATTTTCAAGTTTTTGGCCTGATTTAGGATTTGAAATCATTATAATTCCGGCAGACACTAAATTTGACCAGAATTTACGAATAGTAATGTTGGCCAACCTTGCATAATTCTGGCCAAATCACAAAATTTCACAAAATTTATTTTTATCACACACAAAATTTACTTTATACCGCCGCAAAAAATCATCGTCCCTGTAACAAGACAATGAACAATCACGTGATCACGTGTTATAATTGTAAAATTTATCCTCAAAAAATATTAAGTTTAAAAATTCAGTATACATTCCTTTTTCCGTATACATTTCGTATGCATTAGTTTTTTAAAAAAAATGTTCAAAAATGAATTGCTTATTAAATATACGGAATTTGTATACGGAATGTATACAAAACGTATCCTTTCCATATGCAAATTTCTTATAGGTGATTATCTGGTTAAAATATACCCTACTTATTTTGCACATGTCTACTTGTCCCATTTATATATTGGTTTGAAGGGTTTTTTAATAAAAGTTATACAACTGTCTAAGTTCGTACTCATCACATACCCTCACATATCGAATTTTTTGAATAATAATTAATAATTAGTGATCCCTCATATCTTTTTCTAGCTGAGAGTTTGTGAATGAAAATTTTTATTTTTTCTTAAATTTCGTGTAATATTTAAAGAAGTGGTAATAAAAAATTTTAACGAGAGAATTATATACTGTTAATATTTAATTAAACAAATTATACGATATACTTAAAATGAACTATTTGACTCAGGTAAATTAAAATGATAAATAAAATTTTATTTTATGGATCTCAATTCATTTATATTATTTTTAAAGTAATGTTTCAAATGAACAAAGAAACACAACTTACAAGTTATATAAGATCAAAAGTAATAATGCATTGTAAATCGAAGATACTTATAATCCATAAAAATTTGGTTTTTAATATGCTGACTTTAACATTTTCGATGTGCATTTCGTTTAACAACCATTATATCCCATGTAATTCTCAGTAAATAAATAATATTTTACCGCAATTCAAGACCTTTCTCAGAGAAGTGTACTGTCTAAATTCAACATTACTCTTGAATATAATCAAAGCCTAGTGCAGTTATTATTATTACCTTAAATTAGTTAAATATATGAATTGACTTTTTAAAGTACAAAATTAATGATAACGAGATATAAAAAGGATAATGATTTTGAAACAGTAAATTATCAAATAATAATATTCAACAAAAATATATATCATCATTACCTTTGCTTTTTACATAAGTTTACGTTGTAATAATATCATTATTTTTTCAATTAAATAATAATGTTAGCAATCCTCGTAATTTATAATCGTCGTCCCTAGATTATCTGATAAAAGACCAGACAATGACCAGCTCGGCGTTAACAAATAAACTGAAAAAGATCAGTACCGAGTTAACAATACTGTCTGCATCGAAATTTTCTTTAATTCTTATAACTGATAACGAGTCAAAATTAGGAATCAAAATTATAATAACAAATAGACAGCATCTATAAGTTGTTTATTCACATTAACAAGTTGGTTTTATAATCTGTCAACTTTAAATATTATTCATATCATCTTATCAGTTATTATCACATCAATTAGACACAGTATAATAGACATTGATAAGTTAAAAATAAAAGTGTTATTTAATAATAACTATAATATGCAATAAATTATATCTAAAAAATATTACATTGAATCTTTCCAATGAAGTCCACCATTAGAAGTATTAAAAGCATCTTTAACTTGTTTAGCGAATTCATCATCAATCAAAAAATCTAAAGCTGTTAATGCAATTCCTTTTGAAGCAGTTAATGTAGCTTCATGTGCAAATTCAGTTTTAGCTGCATTAGTGAACCCTATCGTATGATTTCCACTTCCCTGAGGTGCTTTTATATCGTATAATGGATGGATACCAGGAACTACATAAGTCACATTTCCCTGATCAGTTGATCCTAGGGATACTTTTTCTTGCTCTACTTTTGGCTTAAATTCTATACCAAACTTCCTAAGATATTCTTCATATCTTTCACCCAAAGGAGAATTTATTTTCATGTCTTAAACGAAAAGAAATATACGATTATTTAAAATATTTATATTATAGCATTTATCAACAAAAAATAAACTAACCAAAAAGTTCTCTTTTCCGAGTAATTTTAGGGTCTTTGGTTCCATTTGCCTCTGTACATCCTGTTGCCGTAGCAGCTGCCTCAAAACATTTTTGAACGCGTGGTTTCAGAGCACGTAGATTTTCAAGAGTTTTTGCACGAATCATGAATCCCGCAGATGTATAATCAGGAATAACTAGTTATAATATAAAATAAAACATTAGTAATCTATTAATAAGCTAAATAGTTTATGTAATAATAAATACGATATTTGAAATACCATTTGGTGCCTTTCCTCCATTAGTTATGACCCCGTGAATTCTAAAAAATGGTTTAGAATTAAAAAAAGATGGAATAATTAAATTTTATAAATTTATAACAAATAATTTACCTATCAGTAGGTAAGATTTGTTGTCTTAATAATCCAATATTATTATAAGCCAAAACCATAGCATCCAATGCATTAATTCCTTCCCATGGTATACCAGCAGCATGCGCGTTTCTTCCAAAATATTCAATATTCCAACTCTCTAAAGCATAATAGTTATAGAAACTTCCTTCATAAGGACTTTGTAAAGATAAAGAAATATATATATATATATATTTAATAATTAATCTCGTTTTCTTAAAGGTAAAACTTTTAAATAATCAATAACTTTACCTAGGATGGACCATTAAAGAAATATCTACATCATCATAAGCACCTGCTTTAATCAAATCAATTTTGCCATCTCCAATTTCTAAAATTGAAAATTGTAAATAAAAATAATAATAAATTTACTAACAAATATTTTGCGTAGTTAAGATATTAACCTTCAGCAGGAGTACCAAATAATTTTACTTTTCCAGGAATTTCATGTTTTTCAAATACGGCTTTTAATGCAATTGCAGCTGCAACCCCACTAATTGCAATCAAATCTAAACATATTATTTAACAAGAATAATTGTTTATAATATAAAATAATTGATTTGTGATTGAGAAATACAACTTACTGTGACCACAAGCATGACCAATTCCTGGAAGAGCATCATACCTATTACAATAAAAAAAATTATGATTTATCTTATAATAAAAAAAAATTTTTTCTAATATTTCACTTACTCAGAATTAAATGAAACAATTCTCCCTTCGCCGCCTTTAGAGGAAAATTCTGCTACAAATGCTGTTTCAACGTTATATGCACTAGGTGTTACCTTAAATCCTTAATTTGGACCGATTAATATTAATATTGTTATAAAATTATTTGGAAAAGAATTTTTTTTTTTTTTTCTTCTAAAAATAATTTTTACCTTGATCTTTGAGATAAATCACCAACAAATTATGAGCAAATGTTTCTTCATAAGCTAAATAAAGAATATATTTCTTAGTTATGAGAAAAATTTTTTACGGAATAATATTGAAAAATTATTTAAAGAAAAATTGTATTTTAAAACCAACATAATTCCGGTTTTTCATGAATCTAATTTAATACGACATACAATTTGTTTTTTAAAACCGATTAATGAATAAATAATGTTAGGATATTATAAATGCAAATAATATAGTTATTACGGTACCTGTAAACTGATGGTCCTTAATTCTTCTGATTTATTATCAATAGCTTTAATTACAGTATCTGCATATTCTTTTGCAAGATTAATTTCAGTCATGATTAAAAAATAATTTGGTAAGAAAGTAAGAACAAAAAAAAATTTTTTTTTTGCAATTAAATTAACTTCCTTTTTTATGAGCCGATCATGATGTCATACGCCATAGTATTATCCTAATATAGTAAGATGATTATATTCGGCAAAATTTTGTCCTACCGATTATTCGCTCATCAGGATAATTATAATTCCTTTCAATATATAATCTATCAGAAAATACAGATAAAAGTAGTTTGTATATCATTTGCTTCGAATCTTTGTTCAAAATAGCCTTTTCAATCTCCATTTAAAATATAAAGCATTTGAAGAAAAAACTAAGCGTTAATTCAACTCATTATAATAGAATCGTTATTTATTTCACGAGACTTGTTAAGTCAAAAACTTCTCTTATTATTTCACATCATCTAAATATTGAATTCTGAAATTTTTTCAGAAATACAATATACTATTATTAATATACCTTCCAATCAAAGAAGAAATTTATGAACCAAATTTGATATAATTTTACTTATTATTCACGATATAAACAATATAAGGAAATATAAATGATAAAATTTATTTAAAATAAAAATTTAATGAGATTGAAGTGATCAGATCATTTCCAAATTTATCTATTTTTCCGATGGTGTTGTACATGATCGTCAAAGAGATAATATGTTTTTTTTGGAAAAGCTCAGATAAAAATTTGAGTTGCGTTTTATAATAATACTTAAAGCATTATGCTTTATGATTAGATCACGAGTACTCATAATCATGCTTATGCTTTTTTGACATAAAAAGAATAAAATTGCCTCCTGTGCCACTTTCGTTGCAAGTTAAGTTGAGCCATCAAAAAATAGAATCATACGGCAAACTGAATTTTTGATGATCTGCATGAGAAAAAAATTTTTTTTTTTTATACTTGATTTACTAATATATTTTATAATATATTTTTATAGAAAAAGTTTTTTCAAATTTTTGTACAATGATTACTATTTAATACAAGTTTTGAGAGGAATTCATGCAAATTAAGATTTTTATGAGAATAAAAATTAATTTTTATTTTTTTTTTTTTAAAAAAAAAAAAATTTACTTTTTAACAAATATAATAATTCTTTTTACAATAAATACAATAAATTATTAAATATTTAACATAGCTTGTAAGAATTTTTTTTTTAAAAAAAATAAATGCATTACTTGATTTATTATAAGTTGAAGAACTCATACAAATTAGAAAATTTATGAGAATAAAAATTCATTTTTTGATTATTTTTTGCCATAATTATAATTAAATATTGGTACAAAAATTATAACATTTACATGAATTTTTCTTAATACTTTTTAGCTAATCAAAAATTTCATGATCTGCGCCAGCAATAAAACTTCACTTGATTGAAAAAAATCAAAAATAATACACTATGTTACATTTAACAGATATAATATTTCATTTATTATTATTATTTTTTTTTTGTCTATCATAATGATTTATTTGAATATGATAATAATTAATTAGCCAATCAAAAATTTTATTGTAAAAAATAATTTCGCAGTAAATTATATGCGTAAGAAATAAAAATTTGTTTACAAAAATACAAAATAATGTACTGTGTCACATTTATTATTTTTCACCTTATTTAATCAATAAAATATTTTGATATTAAATAATAAAATCTTACGCCAAGTTGGATTGATATACACAAAAAATCAACTATCACATATTTGTTTAATCAAACTTTCTTTAGGCAAATAATTAGTAATTTTTGTGTATAATTTTGCCCATTTGAACAAAATCATTAATATAACTGGTCGCTTATAAATTTTTTCTCGGATAATGAATAAATTTTTATAATATTCATATACACTATCTCTGATATACTGCATAAATATGCACAAAGTGCTCATTTTTAGCTTATGCAAGTCTCTATCCGATACATTTAAAAATTCAAAATAATAATAATAATAAATGTAGTATATAAATCATAGAATACAAGATACTGAATTATTGGATGAACTCAATAAATACTATAATGGTTAAATAACAAATTGATTGTATAAAATTTTTATACCAGAACCTTTTTTTACACAATTGTATATAATTATTATTTTAAATTGATGATACAATATATATGGCCTTATGGAAATTCCATCGATCACGTGCGGATCAGCAATTAATTTCGTTACTATTAATTGACACGAATTGTGCGACTATTATCGGGAATCACCGAGCAATATATAAATAGATAACATGAGATCAGCACTCATTTACTACTGTTCAAGGGCTAGAATTACGTAATGCCATCTGAAATTATACAAAAAAAGAAGGATCAACACATCATGCATTCTTGTTACGTTCGGAATTTATTCGGCTGACACCAATTAGTTTTACAAATACTTTTCTTTTACTTCTTTTACTCTCACTATGTCTTGTTCAAAAATATTCTCGGGAGAATTACCAGAATTAACATATGATACTTTAAAGTATTTTAAGAATGATTTTTCAACTTTACATTCATGTATTTTAGTTAACAGATTATGGTGTCGTTTAGCGATTCCATTATTATGGGAAAACCCATTTTCAAATCCTAAAAAAAATTATAACTTTATTGAAAGTTACTTAAATAATTTAAACGGAGATCTAAAAGCAGAATTAAATGAATATAGAATTGAGGATAATTTATTTCCTTCAAATACACTTTTCAATTATCCTAGTCTTTTAAAATATTTGAATACATGGAAGATTCTTTCTCCAGTTTACAAGTGGTCTGAAAATGCGGTTAAAACTTTAAAACCCGAAAAAAGAGATTTAAGTGAGATTGAAAATTTCCAAAGATTAATTCAAATATTATTATATAAACTGATTATTGATAATGATGCAAATTTACATACTCTTGAAATCGAGATCCATTGTGGTACTCGGAATTCTTATTTCAATAATATTTTAGAATTACTTTTACAAAATCCAAATTTTATTATCCACAATGTTAAAAATTTAAACTTTTATATTCGTGATGAATTTTATAGAGGTAATAATTATATGATAGCTAAAAATCACATATTACAATTAATTAATTTACATCAAAATCTTAAAAAAATTTCTTTAACTGCTGATAAATTTCTTTTATATCAATCATTATTATTAACAAAAGATTATAATTGTTCAAACACTTTAAATACTATCATATTAGATCACGTTAATTTTAAAGATATAATCAATTTAGATATAATATTTGATCAATTAAAAGTTTTAGAATCTGTTCATCTCATTTATTGTCGTTCTTTAAATACTAGTTTTATTCAACAAATTATTAATTTAAATAGACCATTTAAATTAAAATCTTTAATTATAGATAAGGGATCACAAATTGATGATTCATCATTTCAATTATTATTACAAAAATGTGGCGGATATTTAGAGAATTTTGGAGATAACTTTGGAGTTCAAAGTGAAATATTACTTGAATCAATCATAAAATATTGTAAAAATATTAAATCACTTTATTTAAGTAAATTTAAAGATCAGATTGTTTATTTATTGTTCGATCTGATTGAAAATATGAAACAAAGTCTTAATTATCTTACACTCAGTGTAGCGGGTTGTGAAAATTGTATTGAAAGTAGTTCAATTGTATTACAAAATTTGGGACAAGTCCTTCCTTTTAAATTAGAATATTTAAATTTGAATCTTCACATTAAAATGAGTGATTTTGAAGTATTCTTGAAAAATTCACAAGATACTTTTATTAAGAAATTATTGATAAATAATTTAGAAGGACAAGATTTTTTACCTTATATAAAAGAATATATTATGAAAAAGAAAAGAGTGAAGTATCTGGCTATTATGCATTCCTTTGAAAGTACATCAGATGATGAAAACTATGACTATAAGGAATTGGCTTCATTGAAAGATGAAGTGGAGGAATTTAAGTTGTATGATATAAAAGTGCAAAGACTTTATAGCTTATTGATAAGTTTTTATGAATTTACTCGGGATTAATTATTTAGGGAAATGGTAATTTTAAAATATCAGATAGAATAATATATAATTGTATTATTTTAAAATAAAAATTGTTTTTTACAAAATGTGATAAATAATTTAATACACAGTTTATTATGAATCTTTTGTTCTTTACCAATAAATATTTTAAAAATATTTACGAATCCTTAAAAAATTATAGAATAAAGCGTGTTGTGTTAACCATGTGCTCATTTTGACGGATTTATCTTTGAATTTAAATAAAAGAACCAAAAAAAAAAAAAAATACCATTTGTGCTTTATTTTTCGTCAATACAAATACTATAAATTACTAATTTACTAGCTTAAACAAATGAAAATTCAAACTTTTTTTCTCCCATTTTAATCCTTATTGCTTCAATTTTCTCTTCTATTTCAATTTTCTCTTCTATTTCAATTTTCTCTTCTATTTCAAGTTTCCACTTCAACTTTTTCCTATTCAATTATGATTGAAGCGAATTGTATGCATTTAAATTCATAATTTATCAATTTATCGTTTCAGTTTTAAAAATAAATTGAGGATACTACCGTTACCATCAGACTATTAATTGGGCGGAACATTTGTTTTATATAAACATGCATACATATTTAATAATTACCATAACTGTACAAATGATGAGTGTTAAATAATCTCCGCCCCTATAAAAAATTTGTTTCGTATTTTTTTATTCCATGTTATTTCCGTAGATATATTGCATCCACGAATTTATAACATCAAAACATGAAAATTATAAGTTGTTTTAATAAATTTTTAGTTATTTTTCTATAAATGCATCATATTAACGGAGTTTTTACAGAAATTACAGATAAAATTTTTTTGCAGGTTAGAATAAATTAAGTCAAAATTAATAGAAAGAAATAATTTAATTTTCAAATTCTGACCAACATTGGAGTTTAATTTGATATTCGATTCCAACGTTTGAGTTTAGTCATGTGATGCATTTGAAGAAAAAGAATGATTGGTCAAGAAAAATATTATTAATAATTCTTTATAATAACTATGAATAAATAATAAATTATTTCTTCTTACCATTAATATTAATCTATTACTGATTTAAATCTTGTTATTTTGCTTATTATTTATCTAGCTATTATTAAAGAAAACTAGCCTCGTGAGAACTTCGTGAGAATTTATAACTATAATATCTAAATCACAATTATTGTTAATATACTGCATGTGCAAATTGATATCCATAAATAAATATTTACTGTTTATTATGGCTGAGTTGTTATTTTTTTCATAAGCTACTAATTGTTTAATTGAGGCTTTGTAAATTGGACAGAAAAAAGATAAATCATTGGACCAGAAAAATTTGTCAAGTTTTTAAATTTTACTATATTGAGATATTATTAAATTTAATATAATAAAAATTGCCTGTGCCACTGGCTTTGATCTAAGCCAACAATATTTATCCAACCCAAAAAAATTTAAAATTCTGATAGTATGACATAGTCAAAGCCACATTAAAATTAACTATATAAAGAATATTCAACCATATCCCCACTCTTTTTTCTTGTCATTATCCCTTATAATATTATCGACCTACACTTATCAAATATGAGTTATCTAATTATTTAAAAAAAAAATTCTATCTTTATATTATGTATCAATATCATTAGAGAATAAAATACTTATGTTATTAAAATACATTGAACATAGCATTTTAATGAGAGAGTAATTTATGCATGACAACTTTAAAATGTGTATAAACCTAAAATAAAAGTTTAAAAGATATATATATCTGACCAAATTAATCATTCACTGCATCATACATACAGGTGCTCCAATGTTAAAGGGTTTAGTCAACAGAAAAAAGTTAAAGTATATATTAATGCTAACAAAAAAGAAAGATCACAAATAGAAGAGAAAATGAAAAAATGAAAGGGAAAGGTGAAGACCAAATTCCTATATTATAATATTACGAATCTTTTAAAATAAAAAGTATTGTGCAGCTAAAAGAATTAGTGATAATCACTAGTTTTTGATCTTTTATCAAACTATCAGGAAGTAAAAGAAGTTAAAGAAAAAATAATAGAAAGTTTATTCAGATAATTATATCATATTCATTCATTTATAATATTAGGAATTGAACAAAAAATGATATGGCATGACATGGAGATCTCTTAAAAGATCAAATCCAATTATTTAAATTCAGAAGACAAAGCCTATAATAGTTGAACTTGAAGTTATAGTTGGTAAAACATCAGTATGGTTACAAGATCAAGAAGAACCCTAATTATTATACATATTTTGTTGCTGAAATTTTATATAATTATCAAAACAAATAAACAAATTGAAAATCAGAAATATATGTTATAGATTTAGACATCTATCAGAATATTGTCCTTTTCCTCAAAATCCACATAATTTACCAATATGGAAAATATAGAAAAAAACTAACACAACAAATAATATAGTCTTGATCAAAATTAGTCATGTAAGTTATAAGTAATATTAAGCTACAAAATATGATTAAAATATGTGACTTACTTTAAAATGTTAGATTATGCTCATATATCCAATTTTACTGAAATTATTACTGACGATAATGATGAAAACAATCATTTATCAACCGTCATCAAATTGAGCAACCAAAATAGATACATTTTCTCTTAATTATAGTATAGTTTATCACATATGTAAAACACACCAAAGATCAATGTATTGATCTAAGTAAAGATTTGGTGTATTAAGAGGCAAATAGCAGAAACTCTGAGAATATTAATGGTCTTATTCACTCACCTCTCTTTGAAAAAATGATTGCAATTTATCATATTTTTTTACAAATTACAGATTGACTTTGGGAATTAATGTTGGCTGAGATTAAAGAACTCAATGATCTAACATGAGTAGCAAAAGATTCAATAGGCTACTTAATATAAATCTATTTATGCTATTAGAAAATGTGAAAACTATCAAATGTCGTTAAAATTACAACAACTGCAACTGTCATGCTTCTATTTTTTTATTTGTGGTATATAAAAAATAAGACATGGCTTATTTGAAAAAGAAGCTATATAGTAACAAATGCAAGCTATTCCAAAAGCCCAATAACAAGTGAATAGCACCAGCAAATACCAAATGTAAATATGAAAATAAATTACTGTCATGTGATACCAATATCAAATCTATAGACCAAAGCAGAACTGGTTAATGGTTCAATGGGAATTGTAGAAGACATATTATTTGAAGAACAGGTCCACTGCATTATCACAACCTCACTCACCATATATAATATCATGATGAAAACTTCTGGTAAAATATATACTGTAACATTATTTAACAACTTTGATTAATTACACAACAATAACTTAATTTGGTTTAGCTGTTACTCCTTAAGTTGTCAATGTTTATAAAATTCAAGAAATACAATGGAAAAAGAAATACAACAACATCTTAGAATAGAATGGAAAAACTTAAACACTTGAAAATTTGAGTATGTTACTTCAAAAAAATTCTTAATATACATAATTTACTATATTTGCTTATTTTAACAGTCTTCCCTCCCCCTTTTTCTTTACTTACTCGCAAAATTCTTTGCACATACCCAACCTTTTGTTAAAACTTTATATCCCTTTTAACACTATTATTAAAAATGACCTGTCACCGTTTTAAGACATTAAACAAAAAATCACAAGCCCATAATGAAGATAAGTTTACAGAAGCAGTCGGACAAATAAAAAAAGTCCATATATGCAGCCCCCAATGTCTTTATAAATGTCAAGATCTTCAATGCACATTTTGCATTCTCAAACACAAGATTTTGGCATAAAGGCATTGCATATTTTCTTGTCTTTACCTCAATATGAATACAAGTGAATGGATTGATAATTTCAAAAAATGCCACAATTTCTAATATCAAATGAATAGTCTTATAACTCTATATGTACTAAGGAAGTAAAACAAAAAGAATCCCATAACACATGGATATTATTATTTATCAATAGACATTTTCATCATTATTTTTATGGACAGAGGTTTACCATTATTACTGATCATGCAGCACTAAAATATCTTATGAATATGACAAATCCTGTTGGAAATCTTGAAAGATGCATGGCTTATTTTACCAGTTGGCTTTAAACCAAAAGATTTTAATTCTTTTAATTCATTATTTTTAATATGCAGACAAAATGTTTGCAAAGAAGCAATTGTGGTAAAGCAGCTGGAATAGGCATATATTTTGTTTATAACATTATTGCTCTTTCTTATCAACACAAGCAATTCTTGAAATTGTAGATATCTATGCTATTATATATACCTAGAATAGATTATTTGTAAAAAAAATCTCCAAAGAAAATCTTCATCTTGTTAAAATTATGAGTTAACAAATAGATAGCTATTCTTTTACATAAATATTATTATTCAAAAACTATTATTAAAAGAAATCTGGATAAATTCAAGAATAAAACTACCAATCTCAAAATCCTCAAACTGTGATTTATTCAACTTCTCATGACCATAGAATTGGTGAGATTCTATATAACTAGATTAAATACTTTTTTTATCCATTTTTATTACATTCCACTAAAAAAAAAAAACAAAAAAATCTTTTAATGGAGTTGTAAGATCTATTATGTTAATATAAAAGTGTTCTATTCAGCTAGACAATTAAGTTTAAAATTTAAAAAAAAGGGTATATTAATGGGAAATAATAGGCTGTTTATAAGGGAATTACAATTTTCTATTCTAATTATGGTATTGCAGTAATTGCACTTAATATTAGTAATTTATATTGACTTAATATAATATTATAAATTTTTATTTACATACTTGTGCTGAATGGTTGATTTATAAGTACAGCAAAGTACAAAAAAAATATAGAAATACTGCGGAATGGATAATTTATAAGTATGGAAGAGCACAAGAAACATATATTTCTACAAAATGAAATATATCATTTTCTTTTGAATTTTAAACTATTCCGTATTATTCCAGAATTTTCCAGATTTCTTAATTTTCCCGTTGTAATAATTAAAATGAAACAAAAAATTTTATCTTATATAATATTGTTATTGAAAGAAATTTTATCTTTCATATTAATTAAATTAATGCAAACAGAATATGAAATAT